TTGGGTCAGTCACAAGCTCTGGCACAGCTGTCCTTGAAAAAGAGCCGTTTGTGTCAGAGCTCTCTCAGCCCCACCCACCTCACAGGGTGTCTGTTGTGGGGAGGGGGAGGGAAAGGAGTTTGTAAGCCGCTCTGAGACTCCAAGTGAAGGGCGGGGTATAAATCCAATCTCTTCTTCTTCTTCTTCTTCTGAAGATGATGATGATGATAATGATGATGATGATGTGGGCATGCTAAATGTGTGCCCCGGCTTTGAAGGGGTGTCTTCTACCTGTACCCACTTTCCTGTTTTTTGCACTAGTGCAATTTGTAATATAAGCAATACCTGTCTTTACTTGATATCAAAGTTTGCTAAAGAGACATTACAAGGGCTGTCTAGAAACAAAGGTATTCACAGTTGGTCACAGGTTCGGTACTCAGCAGAGAACTGCATAACTCATGACACACTGCAGCTGAGTAAAAGGAGGGTACTGAAGCGCATCCTACACTTGTGTACAACACTGAAGGTGGAAAGAGATGGCAGTGCAAATGGAGGGGGAGGGGAACTCCTGAGAAGAAACAGGGATATTTGAAATGTGCCCCTCCAATTTTAGCATCTTGCCTTAGCAAAACTGTACATTTGGCCACAATACATATATTTAATGGAACCACTGGCAACCCATATTTCTATTTCACACGTAATGGTCAGGAGCTAGGGAGGGGCTCTTGTAGAAGTGTCTTTTTAACATACTTGATAATGAACTTTAAAAAAAAAAAGATTACTTTTATCCATTCATGCATCCTTCAGTGATGACATAGGTTAAAACTCGGAGCACACATACACAAGCTCTAATTATCCGGGTGGTGTAAAAAAACCCTAATGTGTTAATCACAGAACAGGAACCAAAAATGACTTCATGCCGGGGTCTCTGCCTGGCTGGCCTGTAAACAAGCCAAATAAACACAAAATGTATCATACTGACTTAGCAGCTCCATTGTTTTAAGAACGCACTTGGACGGGAGAGTCAGCTCCACTCTAAATCCCTCTGCCCTGATGATACGTGCCGCATCATGTCTAAACAAAGAAATAAACCAGCAGCCTTGCAGTAAAAAGCCTTAGTCAGCTTCCTGGGTCAGCTTGTTTCCATGCACCGCTGGAACTTGCTAGTGAACATACAATGCTGACAACACCCGTCCCACCCCTGAAAAGGACAAGGCTTTAAGCCCCTCTCCCTCGTACATGCCTGGAACCATCCAAATCGGAAAGAACTATGCCATGTATAGCAGGATGCAAAAATCCCCATTAGGACTAACTCCAAAAAGAGTGGTTTAAAGATGGGACTATCCGGGTTGCTGCTTATGGTAGAACATTAGTCCTAGAAGTCTCTTTCACATCCCAAAATGACTGAACATATCAGGGTTCTCAAGGCTATGCAACTGGCTAGCAAGCAATCCATGAGCTACCAGATCATTAGCTATGAAGTTATCTTGAACAGGTTCAAACCAATCGTTCATCTAGCCCAGTTCTGGTTCAACGTGCAGTTTGTGGGTCAAAAGCACACACAGGCTCATTCCGACAAGGTTGGTACTCACTGGAGCCCTTTCACGTCTTTAAAAATTGCAGCACAAGAAACAGCTCTCAATCCGCAGCATACAGGTAGGAGGAGGAGGAGGAGGAGGAGGGATTTATATCCCACCCTTCATTTGGAGTCTCAGGGCAGCTTACAATCTCCTTTCCCTTCCTTTCCCCACAACAGACACCCTGTGAGGTAGGTGGGGCTGAGAGAGCTCTGAGAGAAACCGCGACTGATCCAAGGTCCCACAGCAGCTGCATGTGGAGAAGTGGGGAATCAAACCCGGTTCTCCAAATTAGAGTCTGCCGCTCCTAACCACTACACCAAATAGGCTCTCCTTTTAGCAAACGGTTCCTTTAACATTCTCTTTGCTGAACACAGACAATGGCCAATTAAAGAAAAGCTTCTTCCTCATCTACTAGGTAAGTATCTCAGTCTGAGTATGACTTTAGTTACAGTAGCAAGCTTTGATGGGGCGAGATGGGCCAGTGGGCAACCTCATGCATAGGGATCTCCAGTGGTGAGCCAGTACAATGCAGTGAACGTGAGGTAGAACTTTCAGACTAGGATCTGAGAGGGCCAGGATCAAATCCCGCTTTGGCTATGAGCCAGGGCTCTACTGGTAGCAGGAGCTCCTTTGCATATTAGGCCACACACCCCTAGTGTAGCCAATCCTCCAAGAGCTTACAGAGCTCTTCTTACTGGGGCTACTGTAAGCTCTTGGAGGATTGGCTACACTAGGGGTGTGTGGCCTAATATGCAAAGGAGCTCCTGCTACCAGTAGAGCCCATCATGACACTTGCTGGATGACCCTGGGCCAGTCACCTCCTCACTGAGACTACAAGAGGATAAGATGAGGAAGAAAAAGAGGACCACCTTTCCCCTTATCTGAGCTCCTTAGAGGAACAGTAGGATAAAAAAATGAACTTAAGAGAAATCTCAAACAACCTACTGTTCGATCCTCATCTGGGCAGAAAGATATACGGGCACAAGGAATCTGACGGCCATGTTTACTTAGAAACTACTCCCACCAGTTCAATGAGATTTACGCGTGTGGGCATTATTGCAGCTGTCTCCTTTGGGAGACATGTACAAGCCCACCTCAAGAACTAATCTTGTAAGCACAAACACAATCAATGAAACATTAAGTATCCCACACAACATATACACAGCTTGTCCTAAACTCTCTCGTTTTCCCACCAATCTAAAGCTTGAAACGGGGGCAGCAATACAGCACAAAATAATAGTTCTCGGCTCTCACACTCGCTAAGCCATGAAGCACGCACACAATGAAGACAAGAGAAGAGGAAGATTGCGGCATTTTATTAAAACTGGCCAGTTCCTACAATACTGGAATAGATGGTTTAATCAGGGTGTTTCCACGGAAGTATTAACATTCCGAGGTAACTTGGAATTTCCTTTTCAATAATTAAACATTTAATTACCATTTAAATTTTAATGTAACGTTTATTGCAGCTGTTAGTTTATTTAAAATATTTATATCCCACTTTTCTGCAATCTGCACATAAGGGGGCTTCTGACAATACGTGATAAACAAGTATGCCCCATTAATGGCACCGTCCGAAACACCGTTCTTCTAAGTATGCCACTTAGGATGGCACTGGAAATCAAGATGGCTCCCAATCAGCAAAGCTGTGCCTTGGAGGACACACAGTGGCAAAGGTGTTGCCCTCCAGCTGACGGAGCCCACATCTCCATTTCATCAGCTGACATTCTGGAGATGGGTACATGTACAAATTACATTCTGTTATAACCGGGGCAGTCTGGCTTTGAAGCCACAGGAGTGCCACATCAAGCAACTAATTACCATCTTTCCCATTACAACCCCTGCAAACCCGGTCATTTACAAGCACACCATGGATCCATAATTTGATAATATGCGCTATTGAACACTGCTCTTCTCATTTGGGGGGGGGGGAGAGACCTTGTGTTAAAAAGCCAAGGCTGTATGCCTTTTGGCATATGGGAATCACCTCTTCCTTATCAGCAAGTGAGCCCTGTATGAACTCATGTGGTCAGGTCAGTAATTTCTTATTGGCAGTGCCCTCATTACAACTGGCTCCTTTGACCACTATTCACTCAACAGCCTTCCCCTAACTGGCCCCACCTTGTGGAAGAGGATCCTAGATAAGGTGAGAAAGAAAGGGCTCTGGCTCAGTGGTACAGCATCTGCTTGGCATGCAGAGGGTCCCAGGTTCAATCCCCAGCATCTCCAGTTAAAAGATCCGGCAGCAAGTGATGTGAAAGAAGAAGAAGAAGAAGAAAAAGAAGAAGAAGAGATTGGATTTATACCCCACCCTTCACTTGGAGTCTAAGAGCGGCTTACAAACTCCTTTCCCTTCCCCTCCCTACAACAGACACCCTGTGAGGTGGGTCGGGCTGAGAGAGCTCTGACACAGACTGCTCTTTCAGGAACAGCTGTGCCAGAGCTTGCGACTGACCCAAGGTCACATCAGCAGGTGCAAGTGGAGGGGTGGGGAATCATTAGAGTCCACACACTTAACCACTACACCAAACTGGCTCTCCTCTACCAGAGACCCCAGATCTACTGCCTCTCTGAGTAGATGGCACTGACCTTGATGGTCTGATTCAGTATAAGGTAGCCTCTTGTGTTCATGTGACCCCTCCCTCCCTGACTTAAGAAAGGCTTGTAAAGCAGCATTAACTGAGAAAGTTGGGCTCTGATGGTTATATTAGCAGACTGATGTCTTCTGGTTTTTTGTTTGTTCTCAACTGTTTATTGGTGGACTGGGTTGTTTGTTTGCAAACTGGGTTTATTGTTCCTGCAGGCTGCCCTGAATTTTTGGAAGGAAACAGATAACTAAATGGTTGAGAAAGCCGCTTTGGGCCGTTCTGAAGAAAGAAACAGGCAGCAGTCAAGACGGTCTAAAAAAATTAAAAGCAGAGGCAGATTTCGTACCGAAGGAACAAAATGGCCTAATTAAGCAAGGAAAATTAGCCCATCGGCATTAACCTTAGCATTAGTCAAACGTAATACTGGAATTTTAAACACATCACATCCTTGTACACTCTGATCATTTTGCATCTTGTCTCAAAGCGAAACACAGCCTCTGAACATCATGTTTAATCATCGGTTCAATAGCTCTCCAAGTCAAATTAGCGCAGTTCTTCGATCCTCACGATTCCGAACACTATCCGGGCCTCGCCTCCCAGGCAGGATTTTCCCATCACAGCTCTATGGCTTCTATGAAAGCTATCCCTTCTTTTTTCTACAAAGGCCAAATGAGCCCAAGCGAGCAATGATTCAACCTCCATCCCCAGGTCTTCCTACAAAAGACTCTACTCTTGGAAGCGACTGCCTTTGGTTTTCCATCCAGAAGGGTTATCCAGCAAAAAAAAAAATACTATTCCTACAAATGTTTCTAAACACACACACACGCATCAACTGCAAAATCAAAAGGCTTACCTTGTGAAAGGCACTGGTTTGCCAGAGCAACTTGCCCTGAGAGCAGGTACAGATTAAGACGACCAAAAATGCTTGTCAAAGATGGAATTGTAATGAAACAGAAAGCAACGCAAGCCTGCGGAAATAAGGACAGAGGTGTTTTAAGAGACTACTGTGGACATTTCTTCAATGAACTAGAGATGCAGCAGTTTTAGGGCTACTGGGATGAGCTTGGCCTTTCCAGACTTGGTAGTCTCCTGTAACACAAGCCTGCAACATCACTCCCACTGAATTCTTTATCCCATGTATTACTCTTCTTGCAACTCTGCCGCTTGTGTTCTTTCCTTCTCTGCAGTTCTTCCTCCTCTAACAGCCTTTGGTCTTTTCTCTCCTTTCTTTCCTCCCATAAACACCAGAACCACCAGGGGAACTTTTCCCGTGACCCATTTGAGGGCCTCAACCAAACTGACAAAGACTGATGGAAGGGGTGATAATAATCACCAAGTGCAATCCTGCTACCATCTTTATCTCCCCAGATCCTCCTGCTGCACAGCTGTTAAAGGTGCAAGAGCCCTGATCGGTTGGCCTTCCCTAGCACGGAGGGAAGAGAGCAAGGGGGAGCAAGTATTGCCCGCATCTGCACATGTTATATGCTGCAATTTTAGCCCCTCGTCTCATTAGCACCTCCCTCATGGATCACTGCCTTGACGTGGCGAGGGGGCTTGCGTGGTTCGATGAGGCTGTGGGCTATGCCGTGGAGGGCCACCCAGGATGGACAGGCCACAGCAGAGAACTCAGACCAAGCGTGATCCCCTGGAGAAGGAAATGGCCACCCACTCCAGTATCTTTGCCAAGAAAACCCAATGGACAGTATCAAAAGGCTAAAGGATATGATGCCGGAAGATGAGCCCCTCAGGTCGGAAGGTGTCCAATATGCTACTGAGGAAGAGCAGAGGGCAAGTACAAGTAACCCAGAAAGAGTGAAGCGGCTGGGCCAAAGCCAAAAGGACGCTCAGTTGTGGATGTGTCCGGTGGTGAAAGGAAAGTCCGATGCTGCAAAGAACAATACTGCATAGGAACCTGGAATGTAAGATCTATGAATCAAGGTAAGCTTGACGTGGTCAAAAATGAGATGGCAAGATATCTTGGGAATCAGTGAACTAAAGTGGACAGGAATGGGCAAATTTAATTCAGAAGACCATTATATCTACTACTGTGGCCAGGAATCTCATAGAAAAAATGGTGTGGCCTTTATAGTCAACAAGAGAGTGCAAAAGTCAGTACTGAGGTACTATCTCAAAAATGACAGAATGATTTCGGTCCGATTCCAAGGCAAACCATTCAACATCACAGTAATCCAAGTCTATGCCCCAACCACTGATGCAAAAGAGGCTGAAGTGGACCGGTTCTATGAAGACCTACAACACCTCATAGAACACCAAAAAATGATGTCCTCATCATCATAGGGGACTGGAATGCTAAAGTAGGAAGTCAAAAAGTTACCGGAATAACAGACAAGTTTGGCCTTGGAAAGCAAAATGAAGCCGGGCAAAGGTTAACAAAGTTTTGTCAAGAGAACACACTGGTCATAGCAAACACCCTTTTCCAACAACCTAAGAGGCAACTCTACACATGGACATCACCAGATGGGCAACACCGAAATCCGATTGACTATATA